CAGGTACGGCAGATAGTGTAGAACCTTCAGGCGGACTACTTAAATTAGGCACTCAAAAGGTGCACGTGTGGCTTGATATACCATTGTTGTAATTGTGTATAAAACACTGTTTCAAATTCTAATAAAAGCTTTTAGGCCAAAGAGGTCTCCTTAACTCAAAAAAAAAAATAAATAAATTAAAAATATGTTCAAAAAAATAATTTTAATGTTCAAGAAAAAAAATTTATTTAGCAAAAAATAAATACTCTCTTAGTAAAGCCACATAATTCAAAAAAACAAGAAAAAATAACTCAAAGACTTTTAAAATTAATTGTAAGAAAAGGTTTTCCTCTTATTTTTATAGAATATAAGAGTGCTGACATTAATTATGTAATTTCTATTTACTATGAGGGCTACTCCTCTCTTTACATAAGCTTCAATATGATTGGCCAATTTAAAAGAATTTGTCCAACTAATTTTCTTTACATAATATAAGATATTGATATAGTAAATGCTTAACCCCCACCTCCTAAAAAATTATGTAATTAATTTCTATGCCCTAAATAGTTTAAAGAATTTGTTAACTATATTAATTCTTATTTTAAAATTCCATATGTAAAAACACTTTCAAAATATATTTCTCAATCATATGAATATAGCAATTCTTCACTTAAAAAAAATTTACTTACAAGTGCTAATTCAATTTCTTTTACAGCTGATATTTGGTCATCTCATACACATCATTCATATCTTGGTATTACTTGCTATTGGATTAATTATAATTTTGAACTATGTGAAGTATTATTAGAAGTTGAAGAATTTAAATATAAACATATAGCAAAAAGAATCACAGAATTTCTTGAAGCTGCAATTGAAAAATAGTCAATTCAAAATAAGATTATTACAATATCAACAGATAATAAATCTAATATCAAGGCTGCATTTCATTATTATCTTACTGATATAGTTAATATTCTATGTATTGCACATACACTTCAATTAAGTGTTAAACAGAGTATTATAGATACCAATTCTTTAATTAAAAAAGCAAATACATTAATAGATTTTTTTGAATCTAATAAACAGCTAGAATGTTTAAAAGAAGCTTAGCAATTTTTACAAAGAGATACAATCTATGAGATTATACATGAAGTTGATACTAAATAGAACTCAACTTTCTATGCTTTACGGCGATTATAATTCTTAAATTACCTATTCAATGGCTTGCAAATACTTTAAGTCATAATGCTAAAAGTAATGTTCATAATAGTATTAAACTTCAACCTAAACTTTTAACTGAAGATTAATAAAAAATACTTTATTATTTAATTTATTTATTATATAAATTTGAACAAGCTACAGCATTTTTTAGTAGTTTAAATTATGTAACCTTAAGTACAATGTTTTCTATTATAAAAAATTAATTAATAATTTGCTAAATAATTATTTTGATATTGATAATACAACTATACAAGATCGTGATGCAATTTTGACTGATATTGAAAAAATATTAGAAATTTCTTATAAATATACATTATTGGCATCATTTTTTGATCCACAGTTCAAATTATTAAACTTTATTGATAATGTAAGTTTTAATTTTTTTTAATTTATTTATTTTTATATATTATAATTTTTTAATATTTATATTTATAAATTATAGAATGAAAAAACTGAAATTATTAAAGATTTACATCAAGTATATCAACAACTTTTTTTAGCATTGATAACTAATCAGAAACTCAAATACTATCTAACTTACAACAAGATGATCTTTCTTTTGAAAATGATTTTGATAAATTTATTGTACAACAAAGGTCAAAACCAAATATAGCAACATTTTTTAAATCTTCGGAATCTCAAATTTCTATTATTTCTTCTGAGTTTGATAATTATTTATCAATTACTGAAATTTATATTTCTACTCATGAAGAATTTAACTCTATTAACTAGTAGTAGGCTCAAAAATCCATATATCTGACTTTATATCAACTTGTACGTAAATATTTAGAAATTCTAGCAGCTTCAGTTCCCTATAAACAGGCTTTTTCACATGTTGAAAATTATGTAACCATGAAAAGAAATTATTTAGATCCATCTCTTTTAAACCAACTTTTATTTTTATATCAAAATATGAAATTTATAGAAATTTTTCTTGAATTAACATAAAATATTTATTTTTTTTATTGATTATTTTATTTGATATTTATTTAATTTTTCTTTTTTTTATTATATAACTTAGCTTGCACATATATATTTATTTTATAAATTTAAGGTATTATTTTTGTTGAGTTTTATGTTTTTTTGTAGTTAAAGTACATAATAAATAAAACTATATTTTATTTATTAAAATAGAACTATGCTAATTTAGAATCTATATAATTAATAAGAAACTTTAAATTACTCTAAACTCAAGCTTTATACTAGGAATGAAGTGATATATAATATCATGAAGTGTATAGTTTCTATAGCATTTTAAATATATGCTAAATACAGCAAAAACATGAATTTTAGCACTTAAAACAGCACTATATTTATCCTTATATCGATTTAACAGTTTTTGTCTTAACTTAAGTGCATAACAATTACTATAAAATATCTTTTTTATACACATTGCATTTGAAACAGCACTAACTAAAAAAAGGCATAAAACTAGTTTGCATAACAGCTTATGTATGTATGTACAAATGTATGAAAAAATATTATATTTTTGTAGGTAGTACAACTAGCAATTAAAAAAATTCTAATAGTGTATCTAGATAATTTAAACCTGGATTATTTATAAAATTAAATTGAGATCTAGCTAGATATCTGGATGTTATCTATACAAGAGGAATATCAGACAGAGTAATGCTACATAACTGTACATATTATAGTGATTCATTCATTAATTTACACTTAATATGAATATGTGGCATGTATAATTTAATCTAAGTGACATATTCACAATTTTTTAAAAATGAGTTTTTGTGGAAAATAATTAGAAATCAATAAAGGCTTTGTTTGAATAAATAGAAATTGAAAATTTATACAATTTTTTAATAATTAGATCTTGTCAAAGAATTGGAATTGAAATTTTATACAATTAAAAAATAATTAGAAACAAATAAAGGCTTTGTTTAAACAAAAATAGATCATGCCAAAGAATAGGATTGACTTATAATTGTGCATGTTAATATTTAGTCTTATTGCAATATATATAGTTATCTGATCTTATAAATTATATGCAGTATTTGATATATCAATATTTGTTACTGAATCTTATTATTATAATTTTCAAAATATATAACTTATTAGATTAGCAGAATAATCATTCAGGTTGATTTTTTGGCAGATGTCTCAGGAATAATGATAACAGCTGTAAGACTTGAAGTCTGCAAAATATATTGTGGGTAGAGATACTGATTGGTGAAAATTTTAGTGATCAATCATATAATCGATTATATATAAAATATTCGAAGGTTTGATCAGTTGAATTATGATCAATTGAAAAATTAGCAATTGATCCAAATCAGCCAATTATTTAATCGATTATATCAATATGATCGATCATAAAATTGATTCTTTAGATTAAATAAAATGAAGGTAAAGTTTTTAATTTATATATGTACATACAAATTTATAACAGATAATAAAGTTTGCATATTGGTATATTTTTATTAAAATTTTCTTTTCACATCTTACAAACTTCAATATGTTATTAGTTCAAGTCTCAAGCACATAATTAATAGGTTGAAATTTAATTTCTAATTTGTAGAAAGTAGTTTAACCAGTAAATAGTTTATTATCTTGATAAAAATTAAAGCTAAACCCATCTTTTTTGTTATAGACTTGTTCTGATAGGTTAAATTAATTATCTGCATTTTGTAATATGAACCTTTAGCAAAATTACAGCAAGGATCACTTCAATTAATTGTAGTACTTTATGCATGATCTCGGTAACTAGCTAATCACATTAAGTTTAGTAATTATTTATTGGTTTAATTGATCCAAGTATTTAATTGTCCGAAGCATAGCAGAGGACACTCTGTTTTTACGTCTGTTGTTGATTATAAGCATCACGTGATTCTGTCTGTTGGCTTTCGCCTCTCTGATTGGTTGTCAATCTTGAGCCTATTAATAAGTAGTTTTTAAAGAGTTAAATATAGTTAAATAGAAATCTTTTTTTATTTAATTTTATTTTTTATAAACTTATTTATAATTTTTACTAAAAATTTTAATTAGCTCCGGACACACAATGCTTTGAATTTTCTTGTATAAGCTGTTTATATCTCATTTAGTTTCTTATTTCTTATCTATATTAATCTGTATAATTATTATCTGCCAAGAACATTTCTAATTAGTATGACCAGATCTGTATGGTATAATTGCAAAATACCCTAATTTTTTATACTCTGGCATTATGTATTATTGGGTTAGCATTATTAGATTAGTATGCTATACTTTTTAAAGAGGTATTTTTCACTCTATACTATATATATCTAAAAATCTTATGATATTTCTTGTTTGTTTTAAATTATAGTGTCTCATTTAGTTGTATACCCGATATTTATTTTAACTGAATTTATTTCTAAATTAAGCTTATATTCATCCATTTCTGGTTTAGCACAATAATGTCATGCAGCTACTTATTATATATACACTTATTTATTATCATTATAATTTTAAATATAAAAAATAACTTGTACAGTGCAGAAAGTTTAGAAACTTCAATTTCCCTATTTGAGATAATGTATAAACTAATAGTATACAAAAATAAATTTTTTGAATTGGCAAAAGATCTAGAATTCTCAATATTTTTGTGTTAAAACAAGACGTAAGAATAAAATATAATACTACAAATTTAGCTTATCTTGAACAAGATAGTTGATCTTTATTCTATTTGATATTTTAGATTTCTGCTCTAGTGTTGTGGGCAAAATCTATTTCCAAAATCCGAAAGGTGAAACCGAAATTCTCCCAAAGGCGAAATAAATCTGAAATTTCTGAAATTTCTGAAATAGGTGAAATGGGTGAAATTTCTGAAACTTGGCGAAACCTCCAAAACTCAGCAAAACCGAAATAGCAAAATCTCTAAAACATTTTCAATAAAAAAGTTTGGCGCAACTCTTTTTTTTAATAGACAGTTTGAATTTTTTAAATCTTTGAGTGAAGTAATCTCGACACTTACTAAGTCAAATTTTATAAACTTTTTTTTATTTAAATTCTATGAATCTATAGAATTAAAAAAAAAGTTCATCGAATTTGGCTTGGATATCGAGATATCTTCACTCAAAGTTTAAAAAAAGTTTGGCTTTTTTGATATTAACTATAGCTGACTCAACAAAATTGTCACAGCAGATTCTCGAATTTGATTGGCTAAGGCCAAGGATCTTCAAAATTTTGGCTTGCATTACATAATTGTTTACTAATTTCCGGCCAGAATTAACAATTTAATTTTTCTTTACAAAAATATAAATTTTTAAAAAATAAATCTGTATTATGATAAAATTAACCCAGAAACAATTTTTATTTAATAGGTGGCTACGATTTTATACCAGGAATATAGTGTAATAAAGTGTATAGTTTAGTTCGAGTTTTGAGTGCATTTACGGAATCTCATTTCTGATTGGATACCCTTAATTTTGTATGTGTTATACTAAATAGTCGATAATCTGCTTTCTTTCTTGTACATGGTCAGTATTTATAAGATATTGGTTATGCGACTCATTTCAGCCAACCATTTGTTTTAACATAACAAATTTCGTGATATTTATCATCACATGATTTAATATAGATCTTATCATGCGATTATAATCATATTTTATGAATTATTGTTAGCTAACTTATTTTTAATTCGATATTATACTAATTTGATAGAGTACAAAAAATAACCCAGGTAACAAAGTTTACTATTATGAGAGTTTGTATATTAACTTGAAAAATATGTTTTTATAAGTAGATGTGTGCACATATGTGTGTTCGCGTGTAATACTTTATTTATTTATTCAATTTATTCTCAAAATACATTTTTGTTTTTAGATTAATAGAAAAGTAGTGTATCAGTCATATGATTTGTTACATGTAAATTTATATATATATAAAATTATAAAAAAAACATATAAAATTACTATAAACTTTGATTCTGTGATGTTTC